ACCTCATCTTCATTATCCCAGTCAGCTCTGCAAGGAATATCAGTATATGGATGAGGACGATAGACTTCAGGTTCGCTAAATAGGTTCTCGTAATAATCAGCTGCCACATCACTCATCCTTTGAGGATCGTTCTCAAATCCTTGATTGTTTGGAAGAATGAATCCTTGTAAAGAAGACGAGGAGGATTTCATAAATTTTTTGGTTTTAGACCAAAAAGAGATAGAGCGAGATGAGGGAGAATTACGTGATGAAATTGAACTCGAGAACTGTTTAGAAAGAAACGTTTTCAATTCAATCTTAGCAATTTTTCTTCTTGTTCTAACTATATTTTTTAAAGATAAATCACCAGTACGTTTTTTGCCTGAAGGACAATGCTCTTGTATAAGACATAAACATCCGAAGTTCAGGTGGAATAGCAATTCGATACTTATTCAAAGGAAAGAGAAGAGTGCAGCGTGCGATGAGAAGATTCAGAAAAGTAGTGTAATCGTTGTAAACGATATCTAGCTGATTAAGATTCCAATGTTTTTCCCAAAACGGATAAACATAAGCGCTAAAAAATTGGAATACTTTCCAATGAACATTCTTACCGAAGACAACTTCATTTGTCTTACATGGGACACTACAGAGAAGCGGTTTATGATCACTAGAAGAACCTGATTCATAAGTTTGAATGTTAACAAAAATACCGGATGAAAAAGCATAATCGATTGTACGCAAGGAACGAAGAGAAGTGAAAGAGTCAGGGAGGAAAGGAGAGAGTGAGTGATTATCAGCCCATGATAAGAGAATATTACCTTTAGCTATATCAGTGTTTAAATCGACATTAAAATCACCAAAAAACAGACAGTTAGATGAAACGAAAGTGGACAGATCGTCCCAAGACCAGCTTCTACTTTCAGACGCATACACTCCAATAACTCTTAAAATACTATTTGTCTCATCATCTTGGATAATATCCACCGCACATACGCTTGGAATATTGCTAACTACTCTAACGCAATTCAACGCGTTACGAACCAAAATCAAACAACCTCCGTGTGAGTTTTCACCCTCCTGAAAAAACAATTTATAATTCAAAAAAGTTTGGCGACAGTGAGTCATATCGAATGATCCTGTTTCCAGCAATATCATTATATCAAAGCGAAAGGAATTGGATAGCAGTATAACATCCTGGAGACGTAAGTCGAGACCTCTAACGTTAAATGAAAGAATTGAAAGAGAGTTGATACTGGACGAAGTATCAATGACCTGGTGTTTTTCCCATTGTTGAAGTAGACTAGATAGAAGAGAAGAACTTTCCCATTCGGAAAGAATGTTACACAATAGAGAAAAGTCAAAGGAAGAAAGACAAGATTCAGCACAAGATAAAAAATTTTCACGAACATTGACAGTAAGAGAAGAAGTACAATACGAAAACGAACTAGCAAAAGGAGAAAGTGTCATAAAGTGACTTTTTTACCTGAGATAATTTGATCAATTAATGCACGTTTAATCTGAATTTGAGATTTGAATTCAGTGACAACATTTCCAGTAGCTTTAGG